AAACTTTTTGAAAGTGTAGGTGCGAAAAGTTGTTTTTGTTTGTTTTGAAAAGAGCAAGTACCCATGAGATCTACCTACTCTAAGGAATTAGGCTGTGTAAGAGTCCTTTAGATAGTGATATCCCACCATTGAGAGGTAGGTAGCATCATCGTTGGAGGTATTCGAGTCAATTCGATTATCGGGACATGTGTGGTCACCAAAGCAATGGTAGGACATCTTAGTGGTAACCCTAGTGTACTAGATCCTTTTTATCCGAGGCAACCGTTTCGAGGCAACTGGATCTTAGACAGGAGGGCGACCTCTAAAACACCCTATACTTGACGACCACATCGAGGCAACCAGTAAGGCGTACCCTAGGAGTGGCATGTGGTATATGAAAGTTGTCCAAATCAAAAAGATGCCCTTCCATAAATTTTTAGATTTTATTTGAATTATTATGGATTTAAAATGAATTAAATCAATAAAAATCAAATAAAATGGAAAAATAAATGTTTGGTCTTGAAATTAATCATGGGACACGTGGGTGGCATGACAAGGCTGAATCAAGTGGAAGAAAGTGGGCCCTTTTGTCAAAAATTGAAGTTTTAAGGATAGTTGACTTTTGCCATTTCACAAAAATTTCTCAACTTCTCCAATGCATATCTTGCTCAATTTTGATCATATGAACATGTTCTTGGACATTTTGGAAAGGTCTTGAATTCCTCTAACCAATGCCTTTGGTCCCATGTCATTTGGATTTACCAATCTCAAGTTATGGTCTTTGACTTAAAATGCCTTTTTGTTGACTTTTGAAAATGACCTATAATGTAGAAATTGATAACTTTTTGGGAGAGCATTTCTTGGACTTGGAATGTGAAGATTAGTTGTAGGAAATGTCATCCCCTTCAAAATGAGCATTGGATGGGATTTTTCTGATGAACCATGAAAAAGTTATGCCTTGGTCAAGTTACAGTTGACTTTTCAGCTGTCCAAAAATGGAAACTTTTGCATCTTGATGATTTTTGAGCCATTCTTGAGGAATCATGATCAAGACTTGATCAAATGATGATTGTGAGCTCAAAATAAGATGTTAACCAAAAAATTTGACTTTTGACTGCCAAATGACCATTTTACCCCTACAGTTGATTGTGAAGTATTTAGGGCTTTTGACTGTGCAATTGGACCATGTGAGTCTTGAGACTTGATATGTAGATGCTTGGCAATGTATATAGGCATATGTGACTTGATTGAGCCCTTGAAAACCTCAAATTCATTGAAGGAACCAAAACCCTAATTTGACTGGCTTAGGAGGATGTTTAGACTGGGCAACCCGTTGATCCATTTGAAGATTGATCTTGACAAATCTTGAAGAATATGGAAGGGCAAATTTGTGGGGTACAACAATATGCATTTACCACTAACGTGTGCTTGTCTGTTTGATAATTAACTGAGGAATTATGAACAAGTTCACTAGGCATTCTAAGACAGATCAAAATGAAAGAACTTTGTTAAAGCTTTTAAGAACTGATTGTTCATATATTAGAAAATGTTGCGCGAAGAGATACAAAGATATGAATAAGAATTAGAATTGACACATGAATTCGAATGAGAAAGCTCGTGATAACATTTTGGGGGCAATAATTGCCCTTATTTAAATATCTTCAACTAGATGATATGAAGATAATCAAGTTTCATATAATCATAGTGGAAGATGATTAAATACCAGAGAACCCATAATTTTGCCCTGAGTTGCGATGAATGCATGACTCTTTTTTTTACATATTTTTTTTAATGATGTATGATATTACAGACTCTAGGATTTATTGGAAAGAAATCGAAAATAGAATTTTATGGGAGATTGAAAGAAATGACGTGGAAATACACGCTAGGGAATACAAGAACTTCTAGATATTTGTCAAGGTGACAAAAATATCCATCAATACTTGCGAAGAGGGAGATAAACCACAGAAAGATAAAACATGACATCCAATAACCTGCTTTGGACGAAGGAAGACCACATCATCTAATAACATGCTTTAGACGAAGGGGGAAAGAAGACTATGACATCCAATAATTTACTTTAGACTAAGGGAGAAAGAAGACCACGACATCCTGTAACCTGTTTTGGACAAATGGAGAAAGAAATACAACATCCAATAACCTGCTTTGAACGAAGGGAGAAATAAATACGACATTCAATAACCTGCTTTAGACGAAGGAAGACCACATCATCTAATAACCTTCTTTAGACGAAGGTAGAAACTCTCTGGAAAATACATCAAAAAAACATTTGAAGATACATCAGAGTCATCCAGGAATGGCGTTGGACGAAAAAGACCACAACATCCAATAACCTGCTTTGGGTGAAGGGAGAAACTCTCTGGAAAATACATCAAAAAAAAACATTTGAAGATACATCAAAGTCATCCAGGAATGGCACCGGACGGAAAAGACCACGACATCCAATAACTTGCTTTGGACGAAGGGAAATACTCTCTGGAAAATACAATCAGAAACATCAAGAAGAACATTAGATATGGAATGAGACCAAATCTGAAACTACATCAGAGTAATTCAGGAAAGACATTGGACGAAAAAGAACCACGACATTCAATAACCTACTTTGGATGAAGGGAGACCACAACATCAACTAGTATACTAATGAAGGGAAACAAAGACAGACCTACATCAATTAATGTACTGATGAGGAACAACAAACACGCCTACATCAACTAATGTACTGATGAGAGAAAGTATCGTGACATTTAAGAGTACTATTGAACGAGGTGAGAAATGCTCCACTTGGGAATATGACATCCAAAAATAGCGTTGAAAAAAAGTGAGAAGTAACATAGTATTAGGCGGAAAGAGATACAAATGAGCTGACATCTAGAAGTGGCACTAGAGTGAAAAAAGACAGACATGCAGGAATAACACTGGGGAGAAAAGAGACAATCATCTAGGAATAACACTGGAGTGAAAAGATATGTATTTGTTTTGGTAGGTACCAAATAAGTTGGACTTTGACCTCAAGGTAAGATGTTGACTGTAATAAGACCCCTGGAAGATGCAAATGAGCATGAAACACTCTTCAAGCTATGCTTGACATATGAATTTTGTTATGCATGATATGTTAATGATCTATGCATGTAATATGTAATGCAGACGTTTATGACAATGGAGCTTGACTCTTTTGTTGAGATAAGATCGAAACTCTGATTCCTCATCACAGGAAACATTGCCAACTCTGCTTGGAAAGAAAATGTCAAGAGAAACATTTTTGCCACACTTGTAAATTGTATCAGGCCGGTGATCCTTTGAGGAAGAACTGAAGAACTGCTTGGGGATTCTCTTGAAGCATACTGCCCCAGATTGACTGACTGCTGAGGATAAATTGATCATTCCTTCAATTCTAGAAATGTTGGGAATAAACTGATCATGGCTTCAGTCGATAATTGTTGGTGATAAATTGATCATAGCTTCAATTCTTGAAATGATTGTTGGAAAGGCTTGCCCTAGTGTAAGTCTTGAAAAATAATTTATGGCTAACCAATTTTGAGAATAACTTGCACTGAGCAACAAATCTTGAACTGATTCACAACGGGATCTGGAAGATACTTGCCCCTGATAGCATCACTAGCCAAGTTTCTCAATTGTTTGAACTTTCTTGATGAGGAAAGCTTGTGTGCAAGAAAAATTGTTTATTAAACATGGTAATTTTAATGCAAAATTTACGCAAAAGTTTTGAACTCATAATAATTTTCAGAATGATGTTATTGGTGTAAAAATGAATCGATGGTCAAAATATAGTGGTTTAGACATTTTAAGTGAAAGAGAAAACAAAGGTATGATACCAAGACAAATGGTTTGCAATAGATCTTAGGAGTTAGTTTACGTAACCTTGTTGTAGTATGCTTTCAAAAGAAATCTGGCTTCAACTAGGTCTTTTGAGGGTTGTAACGTGGTCTGGTTCACGGTTTATGAAACAAAGGATAAGGACTCAAATTTTATTTGTATCCAACCCAATCTTCGTGATGTTCTTCATTCCTATGTTCAGTTAACTCAGACTATGCATTCAGTTTTCAAGAGATTTTGGAATTGCATTGATGATAGTAATGATGATGGTTCAGAAACCAACAGATTCTTTGAGATGGCAACCACTTCTTCTTACAACATTTTGATGCTTTTGTTGAGGACTTTTTTTAACTCTTGTTTTAATTTGTTATCCTCAACTTTTGTCTGAACTGTTTTATTTGAGATTACAGTCAGCGGAATGTCTAAATTTTGCCTAAGTCTCCTTTATAGGTTTTGACTTAGCAGACTTTTTCTTTTGATTTTTTTCATTTCATTCTTTTTATTTTTGAAAGATAGTGACTTCCTGACTTAATGATTATGGGGAACCATCATCGTTACTTTTGATTTAAAGGACATCTTTGACGCTTCTTTGTTGTGTGCGAAGAATAGCTTGATTACGACCTTTATTGAAAGGTGTCTTGAATTATTTCTCTTATATTTGTATGCACAATCGAATTAACTGAGAACTACACATCCCCAGGTTAAGATTGCAGGATTTTTCATATAGAAAGAAACTCCAACTTCTAGGCTCGAAGGGGGTAACAAGGGATTAACTTCCTTATTTCTCTAGTGTTTAGGAGTTGAAACAATGTTTGTACATCATCAACAAAGTTTTATTCGAAAGCATACCAACAACAGTTATGAGTATTTTGTTTTCATCATCCTCTCTCAAATTTTTGCATAAACAAAAGCTTGATAAGAAGGTAAACAATAGATATATTTGAAAGCAGTAAATGAAATTTTATTGAATCAAAACATGCAATGCGTATTTCATTAAAATTAACATGAAAGTACTAACAAAGTTTGAAAGCAACAATCAATACAATTAAAAGAAAATGCAAACAGGAAGGATAGGCTAACATTGAATGTAGCTTCACTTTTCATGTCCCAGAAAGGGATTGTTGGCTCTATTAGGACCTGTATCTCTGAAGGACAAAAAGCCCTAATCAAATCCTGAACTCTGGTCTACCATTCTTCTTTAGGAATTGGCTCAAGTTCCATGGTTGTGTTGAGGAAACAACTTGACGGTTAACAGATAACTAGAAGAAAGAGACAACTCGAATGAGATACTAGGCAACCTGGATGTATGCAAAATGATGCAAAGGATGCAAATGATATGCAATATCATGTAATGTGAAGCACTGCAACAAGATCACAGGTTCGAAGGTTTGACATTGTCTAGGTAGGAGGAAGGCATGTTTTCCTGTCCCTCCCCATCTCACATGTGGGTTCTAGTCTTGTACATAATAGAAAATCGTAATGGCAACCAGAGTCGGAAGCCCTCTATTCAAACACCTCGAGTTTGCATAAAGGGTGCAAGACAAAGGCATCGTCAAGAGAACTTCGTCTGTGTGTGGTGTCTCATGCCTCCTCACACGTGTCAAAGGAACACGGGATTCGACATGAGTATCCACTCTAAACCTATGTGTACACTGGCATGGATAATAGGCCTTTTACCTCAAAGTAACACCCACCCAACTTGAAAAACCTGAAAATCCAACACATCACAACATATATATATATATATATATATATATATATATATATATATATATATATATATATATATATATATATATATATATATATATATATATATATATATATATATATATATATATATATAGAAAAGGGAAAACAATAAAATACAAGGCATAACAATAAGTAAAGCATATAGATAAACACTCAGAGAAAAGAAACAAACAAAGCTAGAATTAACCCACTTAGGAAAGAATCCCTAGTGGAGTCGCCAAGTTGTCGCACATGTATAATGCGAAAAGATGTAACGGTAAAAAGTTAAGACTAAGCCATTAATTGACTTAACTTATACAATGAAGTTGCCACCGCACTTTATTATTTTCAAAAGGAAAATGGAAAAAGAGCGAATAAAACCTGAAATAAAATAACATCGAGATCAAAGTACAGAGGTCGATTATGCAGATGAAATATATTAGCACCCTAAGCATCTAAGGTACTCTGCATGATCCACTTTGTTTGTTTCTAATCAAAGAGTGTGTTATCTAAAATAAATCACCTTTATAACTCAAGTGGAATAGTCGACACCTTTATAACCATGGGGATAGGAGAATGATATCTCGACTATAAATGAATTATGTTTAATCTTGAAAAATGTTTTAAAGGGAAAAGATGCTCGAGCGCATAAAAAAGTTTGAATGAGTTAAAGTATTTTTTTAGTCTTTTTGAAAAGGTTTGAGTATGCTTATGTGGTTTAGCATTTATTAAGGAAAAGAAAAGTTTGAAAAAAGACACTTGACAAAGTCAAGGCTTATTATGAAAGTGGTTCGAATTTAGAAAACAAATAAGGTTTTAAAAAATATGATAAGGTTTTAAAAATTGAAGAATGAGGTAGGAGATGAAGAGAGTATCATATGTAAAGGAAAGTACAAGAAAAAAGTAAGGAAGATCTGACCAATCAGAAGCTCATACTTGATATAAAGAAATCAATATGGTATTTCTATCCCTTTGAATTTAAAGCCACAAGCAGATAAATAAGCCAAGAGTATATCAAACCTTAGGTGGAAATAAATCACAAGTCGACAACATCAAAGAAACTCAAATGTCAGATAATACTCAAAGCATCGGATAAAGCGCATCAAGTGAAAATAAATCACAAGCGGAAAGATCGCATCATGTAAGCTCAAAGTATCAGGTAAAGCTCAATGCATCAGATGAATATCGAATAGAAATCCCTACGTCAGATGACAGTCCAAACAAACAAGATAACAAAGAAATAGTCCGCACATCTCATGAGATCAAGTCCAAACGGACTAGAAACATGTATCAAAACTACAATGAAACAAACGAAACATAAATCAATCAATTAAGAGTTGATTAACTTAATTAATTGAGTTAAGAAAAATAAATTAGCAAACTAATCCATTTTAATTAACTAAATCAAGTACCTAAATCAATATTTAATTAATTAATCAAAGTGAAAAGATAAAGAAAGATGGAATATGAAATAAAGAGAGAATCAATTAGTTAAACGTTGATTAAATTAATTAAATGAAATTAAGAAAAATAGATTAATAAACTTATCAATTTTAATTAACAAGCACCAATTAATTAAAACAATATAGAACTAATAGATTAAAATAGAAATCAGAAGTGGAATGGAATTGTGAGGAGAAAAGTTCTTGCGAACTTTTGTGAGCTTGCACAATCCAACAAACAAGTTAGTAATCACAAGATATAAAATCGAAATGAAACTTGCATGATGCACATGAACAAATAAATACTTTTCAATTAAGAACTAAGAAAGCAAGTTAATATTCAATGTAAATACAAAAATCAGCATGATATTCATCGTGTTAAACATATTCAAAATCAGGGAACATAACAGGAAACATTATTTTCCAATCACAAATGAAACAAGGATCAAAGATTCACATTGCAACATGAAAACTCTAATTCAAAATAAGCTTCAAACCTCAAAAACAAATCCTAGGCAACAACAAACAATGATGAATCGGTGTTCAAAGAAATCACCTCAAATAAATTCAAAAACAAAAACAACAATTCCAATTTTCAATTCATTCAAAATAAAACAGAACTTAATTAAATGAGTAACAGAAATTTACCCAAACAATATGTCGGAGTTCCGGAACAGGAACAGAAACCACTTCACCAATTCGAAACAGGATTGCATTAGAGATGTCGATGATGATGAATCGACTTGCTAGGCTGCTCATATCTCAACACATATCCTCCAAAAGTTTGCATCGGAGTGAAACTGTGGGAACTGAAGCTCGGATCTGAAGTTGAAGTGATGGTTGATGGTGGTTTTACAGTTTCCGAACAGAGGGTGTAGTGTTGCGTTCGCGAAGAGAGAAGATGGAATTGGACGGTTGGCTTGGAATCGGACGAGTGGCCGGTGATGTGAGGTCCGGCGGGGAGGTTGTTGTGTTGATGGCAGACGAAGAGATACAGAGGGTGTATTAAGGAAGAAAGTGAAGCAGCTAGGTCTTAGCCAAATACCAATAAGCCCTCGTGAAGATACTTTGCTATTCAATCTAAACAAAAAAGTTATACACAAATTTTATAGAAATATTAAACTAAACAAAATTCTCAATTAGAAATTAAATAAAACATAAAATAATTTTCCTTTTTGATATATATTTTTTTAATAAATATCATAAATAATAAAAATTTGAATATGAATTATTTAAAAGTAAAAGAAAAATAAATTTGAATGAAAATTTTAAATTGAAAATAAAGGTAAAATGCGCGAACAGATACAAAGATATTAATAAGAATTAAAATTGACACATGAATGCGAATGAGAAAGCTTGGGGTAAAATTTGGGATGTAACAATTGTAGACGTGGTTCGCAGTTAAGTTTGATAGCAATTCTATTTCATTTTTTATTTAAATATCTTGTAGTCCAATTAGCGCAGGGGGTGTGACTTTTAGTTCAATGTAGAAATTAGAGGTGTGTATATAGTATTGGGCTTAGCCAAGACAATTGTTTGAGGTTCATTTGGCATTGTAAGGTGAGTTCCAGGGTGTTATGGTGTGCTAAAGTGATTAGGAGCGTTTGATTCAGATCACAAGGTTTTCAAGAGTTAATCCTGGAATGTTGATCTGAAGTATAAGAAACGGAGGGTCGGGATTGAGAGATGACCAGAGTGCAGAGTGGAGAGTGTGCATGGAGACAAGTCAATGGTCTCATCATCCCATGGCCAGCAGCAACCACATGGTACACATAAGGAATGGACGAAAAGAGTACATAAAGGAATCCCTTTGTAAAAAAAATTTCCTTTTCCCCCTCTCTCTCTTTACATTCGCTCTATTTCTCACTCTCTCTAGAACTCTCACCACCGGCCGGAAATTGCCTCTGCCAGTGGTTCACCAATAGCCACCCACAAAGCCATCATATAACCCAGATTTTCGGTTGAAGTTTAACCAGAATCTTCATATATTCAACCCAAACCCATAAAATAATAAGAACCCTAGGTAGAACTCTAAGAACCCTAACCCTTGAATAAACCCTAAACCCTTAGCCACCATGGGCGGCCATCAAGGCCGCCGCAAGGGATGAGTAGTCGCTTGGAACACTATCTTGAAACCCAGAAAACGATGAACCCTAACAATTTAAACCCTAACCCCCAAGAACCCTAGCCCTAAACCTATGAACCTTAACCCTATCGTGAAGAACCCTAACCCCCAAATTTCCAAAAAAAAAACACAAATAAACCCCAGCATTCAGAAGTTGAACAATTACATCAACACACATAAAAATCCTAAGCTAAGTGATTAGGCTTATCGTCTTTTCCATGATGCTTCTCATGATTTGGTTCCTTCTCTGATTCCCTCTTTCTGATCTTCTTCTTTCTCTGTTTCAGGTACAAAGGTTGAGGGTTTCGCGGCTAAAAGACCAAGGCTTCAACTCTTCAATTCTTTTTCTCCTTAATTCTTCTCCAACTTTTCTGTCCCTTCTTAGATTTAAAGTCAGGGTATTTATAGGTTTTCAAATTAGATGAATTAGGAAAAATAGTCATGTAATTGTTGTTACAAATTGTGAATTGCTTGTAATTGATTCAGTTAGGGATTAGATTGATTGAATTATGAGATTTGATTTGTAAGTTAGTATTGATTTAATTAGAAAATAGAATTAGGGTTTTGTATTGTAATGTACTTGGACGCTCTTCTGTATATAAATTTGTTTCAAATAATAAAATCAAGTTTCAATCAAAGATTTGATTTAATCTACTGCAAAATTATAATTTATGAGCTTTTGTGTTTGTCTTAGGGCAGAACAAAATTGAGATGGGCGCAACATGCACAAGGGTAAACCCTAGTTGACCTTTGGTCAACTTAACTGAATAATAAATAAATAATAATATTAATGAAAAAAATAATAATGGATAATAATAATAATGTAATATATTACATGCACACGGGACGTTAACTCCAGTCAACTAAAACAAATAAATATATTTTATAAAACTAAATAATAAAACCAAAATGACTAAAAAGTTCATTGACTTCGGTCAACTCAATCATAAAAATAGTTATAAAACTTAAAAACAAATTAACCTAATTAAACTTAATATGGGCCTTTCAAAAAAACTCTTAATGGGTCATTTAATTATTTGAAATAATGAGCCCAACTTGATAAAATATGAAATAAACCCCCCTCTAAAATTGACTTGAAATATAGAAATAAGTGTTAGTATAAATATAAAAATTAGTATAAAAATAAACCAATAGTGCTAGTGAAATGAAATTGACTGTTTACACCAATGCGGACAAATTTGAGGTATGACAATTGAATCAGGTGTTTGAATTTTGGATTGAAGCAAGTTTGGACATTGTTTACAAATTGGTTTGCTTGCATTACTTGGTCATTACCAAGGTTTTGGAAAAATACAAGGTGGGCCAGGGATGATGCAGGTCACGTGTTATACAATTTAAGCAAAGTTTTTTAGTGGTTTTGCAAATTTGTGGGATCGGATTTATGATCAAGTCCAATGCACATGTATGGAATCAAATTTGGTACGGTTTGGGCTGATTTGCGAGCATGAATTTGGCATGGTTTTTCTTGTTGTATGGTGGACCAAATAGCACAAAATTCATACCGAATGGAAGCTAGCACAGGAAGGTACAACTTTGGTGTTAGGACCAACTTGAGAAAATGCTTGTAGGCTCAGATATTCTGGTGCAAAATCATGACTTCAAAACTGTCTTGACACTTAGAGAAAATTCTAAGTATTTAGTCATTTTTCTCAACTTGAATCCCTTACTTTAGCATCAATTTCAACCCTTTAGGGATAGCTTTTGGACTCAAATCTCCCACCACAATGTAGTATCAAATGCTAGCTTTAAATGCATACCCCAATTTTCAAATTTGGTTGCTTGAATCAATCACAATAAGCTTGGAAAGTCAACCATATGGACATGAACTTTTGACACTTAGAAAATTTTCCAAATTCACCAATTTTGCATCTTTTCATATTTTCTTGATTTTTCATGGTTCTTCTTGATAAATCTCAATCAATTTGAAATTTTCTTGAACTTTGACTTGAAATGACCATGTTTTACCAAAAATATCAAAAGTCAAACTTTGACCTTAAGCAATTTGTTTACTTTTTTCCAATTTTATCAAACCTCTTCAACTATCATCTTGTCATACCACTTGAATCAATTTGAATCACTTGATAATATGAATAAGATGTACAAAGAACCCTTAAACCTTACCTCAAGCTATGGAATCAAATTTTGGTCAAAAAGTCAACCTCAAGTTGACTTTGACAAAAACCCTAATCTTGAGCAATACTTTAAATGGAAGCTTGCAAATAAATTTGATGACTTTGTAGCTTGAGCCAATGATTCATGAAACCCTAATCCAATTGATATTCATATTGACTTGATGAAAATGATCTTGTAACTTAATGAAACTTGATACAAAAATCTTATGATGATGTGCATCCAAACCCTTGCCAACTTGAGTGTAATAGTCCGATGAATATCATAAACCTTGCCATGCTAACTTGATAAAAAAAGCTTATGATGTTGTACCTTTTATAGCCTTTTGTGTGACATACTGAATATCATACTCAGATAGAAGCATCTACCATAGAGCCAATATGCCTGTGAGTGTCGATTTCTCAAAGATGTACTTTACGAGATACATCTTAGATATCAGAAGTGTTAAGTGCGTCAACATGTATTGCCTTAGACGTTGAGGTTCCCACACAAGAGCGTAACAAGTTTTCTCAAGTAATGAGTACCTTGATTCACAATCAGTAAACTTTTTGCTCAGATAATAAATGGTGTGCTCTTTTTCTCATGTATCATCATGTTGTCCAAACATACACCCCATGGATCCCTCAAGCATTATCAAGTACATAATGAGTGGTCTCCCAAGAATTGGAGCACGATGATTGGTGGCTCCTGGAGATACTGTTTAATCTTTTTGAAATCTTCTTGGCAATCATAATCCCAACGGATATCTTGATTCTTGCGCAACAATTTAAATATGTGTTCACAAGTAGCTGTGAGATGAGAAATTAACATGGCTATATAATTATGTCTCCCTAGGAACCCACAGAATTCTTTTTCATTTTTTGATATTGGCATATTTCATATTGCTTTTCCTTTGTCGGAATCTACTTTGATTCCTTGTTTACTTACGATGAAACCAAGTAGTTTTCTATATCGCACCCCAAAGGTGCACTGGTTAGGATTAAGCCTTAGCCTGAACTTTCGCAGACGAGCAAACAATTTTTAGAGATGAACCATATGTTCTTACTCAGTTTGTGATTTTGCAATCATATCGTCAACATACACCTCGATATCTTTATGAATTATCTAATGAAAGAGAGTCACCATAGCATATTGATATGTTGCACCAGCATTTTTGAGACCAGAAGCCATGACCTTGTAACAAAAAGTGCCCTAAGAAGTTGTGAAAGTTGTCTTATCCATGTCATCAGGAGCCATTTTTATCTGATTATAGCCCAAAAATCCGTCCATGAAGGAAAACACTGAGGACTGAGCAGTATTGTCAACCAACACATCAATATGTGGCAACGGGAAATTATCCTTCGGGCTTGCCCTATTAAAATCTTGGTAGTCAACACACATACGTACCTTTCCATCTTTATTAGGCACTGACACGATGTTAGCAATCCACTGTGGATAGTTTATCACAGATAAGAAGCCTGCATTAAGCTGCTTCTAAACCTCT